TACATGAATAGAATATATTTTCTTATAAACAATTCCTGGTTTTTGTAAGAAACCTTGAGTTACGAGTCGAGCTTTGTATCTTGTAATTTCATTATTTTTATTCTCTTTCGTACAAAAACTCATTTGTATCCAACAAGGATTACATTTTCAAGCGTTCGAATTAGAGGTGCACCCATGTTAAATGTGAAAATATTATCTATAACAACATTATTTATTTCCCATAATTTATGAGATAACATATAATTTATTGAAATCTCATTATTTTCGGACACTTATGGTTCTTCAGGAAACATATTTTCAATATTTGATTGATCATTCTTTTCTAATGTTACTTCTTCTAAAGTTTTTAGTTGATTTTTCTCATGTACTTTTCTTTTTCAAGGTACAGAGTCTTTTGAACTAATTGACCGATCACGCTTTTGACGTATTTGAGATTCATTTTTTACAGTAAATTATCCTGCAGGGACATTATTTTTTGTTGGAATATTTTCTGCTAATAAATATGACTTTTCACTTTTCTTATGTCAACAAATACATCTGGTAATTGATTTGCAACTCTTTGAAAATGAATAATTTTTTCAACATCTTAATCACATTGATTGCTACGATGATCAAAGTGAGATATAGTTGTTTCATTCCAAAAACGTTTACCTTATTTATCAGAATGTAGTTTTTCCCCTCCCAAAGTTGGAAAAGTCATTTTATCATAATGACAATATGAAAAACGTGCAATAAATAAATCACTCATTAAATGTTCAAGATAGATAATAATAGATAATAATTCAAAACTCACATAAATCCCAAGTTTTCGTTGGGGACCCATTTTAGTACGTTGTGGGATGGAATAGAGACTTGAATTGCAAAATCAAAAACTCGTAGGTGATAAATATTAGGTTCATGACCAAATGCCAGTTGCAAATGTGAATATTGATAATATGCAGTTGATCTGATATGAATTAATGACGTAGCACACAATTGGCATGACCTAAATAGAAGCTGATAATTTTGTTTTCATAAGTAATGGTCTATCAATAAGTTGTAGACATTTAATAAATAACTTCGTTAAACCATTTTGCATATGAACATGCGCAATCGAATGTCCAATAACAATTTCAATTGATATACAATAATTAACAAATGCTTGTAATATAAATTCATCAGCATTGTCAAGACGAATAGTCTTGATTGAGTAATCGGGGAATTGCACTCGTAATATTATGATTTGAGCAAATAGTCTAGTAAAAGTTACATTCATAGTGGAAAGTAGGCAAACATGTGACCATCTAGTAGAAAAATCAATGAATACCATAAAATAATGAATGATCCACATGATTGGTGTATTGGTCCACATATATCTCCATGAATTACTTTTAAGAAAGTTGAAAATTCAATATTGATCTTTGTAGTCGAAGGTCAAATGACTAGCTTGCTTTACGAACAATATACACATGGATAATCATTAAGTAAAAGAATCTTTTGGTTCTTTAAAGAATGTCTATATAAGTTGTTTATTATTCAACGCATCATTATAACTCTTGGATGTTCAAATCGATCATGCCAAAGTATAAAATTTTTTAGATCAACGAACTTCTAGTTCGTGATAATATTTGATTCGACTATTTTTATAA